TCAGAAAACCAAGCATTTAATGCAGAATTCAGCCTTGCAGTTCCTCTAAGACAAGAAATTCTACGTGTTGTATAAAAATGGGATAGAATCAGTTCTATTTTGTGGTGTTGGCCTTTTGCAGGAAGAGGTGTGTCAAAGATGAATGATAGTAGAGAGAGTCAAAGAGAATAAATTTTAGAAATCTTGAGCTGACAGAACAGTCTAAAAAGTCACTTTGCATGACCTGTGTTCAGCAGCTCACTGCTGCTCCTGCCCTGGGACTCCACCAAACAAGCACTGCTCAAGAACGAACACCAAAGGGTGGGCGAGACCCAGTTTATTTTTTAGATATATTTGATAAGTTGAGGTACTTCATATGCTTTAGAGCAGACATAGCATTTGGTTTCCATAATAGTTTCATTTTCACAAAGTTGGACCAATTATTTAGAGAACAGAGACATAGGTAATTGTGGAATTTGCCAATTATATTCAAAAATCACATAAATAGAAATACATGTGATTCAGACAGCTGAGGAACAGCCTCCTTCCCATATACAAGCAAGGGATTTTCACTTCCAGCCACCGGGGTGAGAGGATGCTTCCAAGCAGGACCCTTTACATTCAGATCTCATATGCGTAAGCCAATGCGTCAGCCATCTGGCATTCAACATGTGGTGTTCATCTGTGCTCCCTCTGCTCTCAGCTCACTTTTTGAGCTGGCACTTCTTCCAGCTGAGTTACAATATCTGTAATGCACTTCTATGCAGAATGCTCATGCAACATGAATTCCCAGGAAAAGGTAGATGAGAACAGTGGGGCTGCACAGATGCAGATTAGAAATCCAGAGATGAAAATAAATACTTTTTTTTTTCTCTCTCTCTTTAGTTTGTCCCCAAAGAGAAAAATGAGCCAGCTGGCTTGAAATCCAAAAAGATGAATTCCCTCTCCAACCTCATTCCATTCTAAGCATTTTTCCTGAACTGTCAGAGTCATTTCCTTCCTCTGCTCCCATACTAAACATATCTTAGTCAAATATGATTTTGCTATTATTACTACTTGTGTTACAGGAGGACTAAGTCACAGCTCATGACCTTCATATAATGCCAACGTCAGTAAAACACTGAGGATCAGTGTTAGATTCTGTCTTTCAGATCCAAGTCTACTGAGTCTAGAAATAGAAATAGATAAGCAAAGCATAATTCTTTGTTTCAGGGCTGCTTCTGGTCACTTACGAGGACCAGGATTTACCTTTTTTACCTCTCCTAGACATACTACTATTTCATTTATTCATTTGGCTTCTTCTGTGTATATATGTGTGTGTGTATATACATGTATGTATATAAATGTATATATAACAAAAACCTCAACTGTGTGTATATGTATATATGTATACAGTTTCTGATTTTGAGTCAGAAAGGGATTTTGCCCCAAGTCTAGGGCTGGTGAAGGTATGTCAGGGCATTTCAGTGCCAGGGCCAAGAATGATGGCCCTATCATTGGCTTCTCCTGCCCTGTCACTGTGGCATACTGTGGTTTTCCCAGTTTACCTGCAACCTGCTCAGGTTCTTCATCTGTGCCATGGCATTAAAACATGTTAAAAACTTGGGGGTTGGACTAGATGACCTTTGAATGTCTCTTTGAACCCAAATTATTCTATGATTCCATGTTTTATGCGGTTTGGAGCGTGCCTAGCATGAAATGGATGTTCAGGGATACCTCTGAACGAAAGTTCAACAGCACAGCTACGTGATTTCCCAGTCTGAGCTCAACCCAAAGGACACCACGGAGCAAGTCTTGGCTCACTCTGTAAGAGACGTGAATGCTAGTGGTGTTGGTGCTCAAGGTGTGAAGCCTTTTCCTCAAGCCCATGTCACTGTAGAAAGCAAGACTGAAGAAATGCATTGTCAGCTGCAAGAAATACAACTAGGGAACCCCCCATACTGTCAGTTTGCCATGGAAACATAAGGATCTTAAAGAAAAACATGGTTTCTAACCCACTGTTGGAACTCATATTGTAGCAAAATTGAGCAAATGAGAATTGTTTGGAAGCAGAACAGAAACACAACAGATCATAAAATCACTAGTTTCATAAACATAAGAAAAAGTAAGCACAAAAAAAGAACGATGCCATTTGTGAGGTTGACATGTGGGTCAGTAAAATGCTTAGAAATGACTTAGAAGCAATTAGAATGTTCCATTTCCAGATTAAATATACTTGAACGTAAGCAGCATTCAAATATATTTTGGTTTATTGTAGCTCAAAATCATTCTTCTTTGATCTAAATCATAATAAATGCAGTTAGCTGAGATATTAAATATAAAGGTAAGTTTGGACAAAAGCCAGAACTATATCACAATACACTGTTAGGAAGAGGAGTTTAGTATTTATGGAGGTGAAATAAGTAACAAAACAAAAAAAGCGTGAGGGAGAAATACTGATTCTATTTGTGGATGTGCACTGAGATGCAAAGTAAATGTAGGAAGACTTATTTGCTCTTGACTATGATTTATAGAGGAAACTGATTCAGTTATAGCTGTGTACTAAAATCATGGTGCTGCTTTTAATGTGCATTCAAGAAAAAGGATAAAAAAGCCATTTCTTACAAGACTGTAATTGAACTCTAATTTATTCTACACTTAAATACATAGATTTTCTTCTGGGGAGAATTGATCTATTTTTGAGAAGGCTGTTCCTACAAAGCATAGTTCTGAGAGACAACTGACTTACAAGTGACATTGTAGAATTATTTCCTCATCTGCTCCTCAATGTAATTAAATATTCACTGATACTTGTGAGTCTAAATACAGGCAAGAATTTCATTTGGGAGATGCATGTCTCTGATGATTCCTTAAATTACATTTTCCTTCCTCTTCTAGAAGGAGCAGACTCAAGGAAACAGTTTCTCTTTAATGAACATGAGAACAAAAGCAATTCTGGGAAACACAGCTTTCAGTTATGGCAAACAAAAGCTGATTTCAGATACAGAATTGAAAAACCGGAGCAATTTTCCTTGAAGAAATTTGAACAATTTGCAAATCTCATCCTCCTAAAGAAATGACATTTTTCAATATTCCATCTTAGCATAATTTTAAAAGGAATAGTGATTTAGAAAGAGTTGCCCTGATTCACACTAGCTAAGAATCTGCTCCAGAAAGCCTATGCAAAACCACAAATTTAAAACCATATTGCTGCAGTAGGCATTTAGCTGCATAGCTATTCAGTAAAGAAAGAGGAAAGGCTGCAAACCAAACAGTCCTTCCTTTTTACAAGCAAAGAAGGATTTTCCTGATGGACCTTTAGAACAGTTAGAGTCTATTGCTCTTCAAAAATTGCTAACAGGAACATCTCACTTTTTAAAAGAAATGGTTAAAATCACAAGCAAAACTCCTATGACTCCCAAACTCTTCTCATTAATAAATTCTCATTAATAAATAAAGATGAAAGGAAATGAAACCCAAGACACAATTGTGATTTATGTGAGCACATTAAGCCATAAAGAAATGAACTACATGTACTTCTGGATTAGAAACTTACACATAAGGAAGTTAAGACTAAAGGCAGAGTTCAGGCCAAAATAGTTCACACAGTGCAGAACCAACACATGCACCAGTAAAGGTACTGAACATGCTGCCAAGCAGAGCCAGAACTGTGCTGCACAGCTAGCTACATGCTTTTTAGCATGAGGTGGAGATCACAGGAAACACAATGACGAGACCAGATTTAGAGCTATTGAACAAAGCTTCCTTACTGTGCCAAGGTGGTTTTTTTTCTGCTGCCCTTTAATATTTGTCATATAGAAGTGGAGTATACTCAGTTAGCTATTTAAAGATACAGATCTTTAATTCTAAATAATTCTAAAGAATTCTGTAAATCTAAAGAAAGGATGTGAAACAGATGTCTTTGAGGAGAATTTTTGCCTTGAAACTTACCAATGCTTTCTGCCCCTTTAGCCTGAGGTCTGTTTCTCACTAACTTATGGCACTGTACCTATTTCTGAAGAATGCATGCTAAGGTTAAAGGTTGTTGTCAAATCATTTCCCCATCAGATACTGTGATGTCAGATGTTAAGACATCTCCAGGGTTTATCTTAGCATTACATAGTCTTGTATAAAGAAAGTGGCCGGTCATTATACTGGCTTCATCCCTTTCCATAGTTCCATTGAAAGCAAAATGGGGGAAAAAAATATTATTTCGACAATGAATGAACATAAAAATGGTATAATAATGCTGGAAAAAAGGCTTTCTCCTAAAAGGGGCAGATATAAATTGAATCAAGTTAAAATTCAGTTAAAGCAGCAGAATTTTGCAAATGGATCATCACTTCACACATTTATTTTGACCTTGTAATGTGCTTTATTGGAAGCAATTCCTAGGATGCCCTTGGAAGCAAAATCAGCAATATTCAATGAGTAGCCTCTGAAAAAACAGCAGAAAGAATGATCTGTTTTCTATGGATATGTCTTTCCAAATCAATTTACTCTTGTGTCTAAGAAAATCCCAGCTCTGTTTGAAAGTCTTCCTGCTGCTTTGGTATTTATAAAAGCAGATTTTCTACAGCTTTATAAGGAATGAATGCATGGTGCCACTATCTTACAATTAAAGCACTAATGAGATTCTCTTTTTCTCGGCCTCCTGTTTAAGCAAACCATTTTAAGACCTGGTTCCTAATTTCTCTAGAGGGTGGGTGGTGAATTCAATCAGATTTGCTTGAAACAGATATGAAAATGAAAGAGTTGGGATTTATGGGGTGAATAAGATGTATACCTGTGATCGCATAAGATGTATTTCCTTAGGAAATAAGGCTAAATAGATGCTTATGTCCATGTTTGGTCTGGGTCTTCTTAGACAGGTTTTAGACTAGATGGAAGTAGACACTAATCCAGTCCAGCATTTAGTATATTCCCTACTTAAAGAACATATATTTAAATACATCTACATTGATATGTGAACATATGTGGAGCAAGTCAGTTGGAACAACACTGAAGTTACTTCCTTGCCTTTTGTTTCCCCACACCCACAGAGTATTTGGTGCTGCTATACTGCTGACATCGTCCCTCAACATGCTCATACCGTCTGCGGCCAGGGTGCACTACGGATGCGTCATCTTTGTGAGGATCTTGCAGGGCCTTGTAGAGGTAAGGAGAAATCACAAAATAACCAGGAAAAGAGACAGATGTTTGTTAGCCTTTAACTAGCAACCATGGCTTTGGCAGGGGAAATAAAAAAGGCTTTTAGTTTATTACTGATTTCAGTGTAACAGGTTTCAATGTATGGATTACAGCTATTTGATTTTCCTTCATCTATAAAATGTATATCAAAGTTGTCTCTTGCTAAGAAGCTGGTGAGGGATGTATTTAGCAGTGAAGTTTCACTGAAATCCTGTACTGCATAGGGCTTATACTGGCAGCTATTTGCTGCCCAGCCTCCCAAATTAAATCTGTAATAAGGAACTAAGCTTCTATCATAGCCCCTGAGCACACTCTTGTTGGAATGAATGAGAGATTTAACATAATTTAAAAGAGAAAAAAATTGAGCCTGCCTTCTAAATTTTTGTTTTCTTGTTTCTTTACTGAAAGACAGATTTTTAGGCCTGGTTCTTTGCAACTCAGGGTGCACACTTCCACTGTATAACCTGAATTTAACTCGTGCCCTTTATTGTATAAAAAGACTCCAAAAGAGGGCGCAGAATGTGCTTGAAAGTTAGGTAACTGTCAATCAAGTTCTTAAAGTATAAATGTGGATGCAATTCTGAAAAGTGATCTGTGAGGAGAAGAGGTGAGCTTGTCTGAAAAGAGAGGGACAGAAGCAAGTGGATAATTACAAAACAGAATAGAAACATTTCTGTGATACTGTTCAAAGGAATTGTGAATACAAACCATCTCAAACAGGAACATTCAAGAATGTTTATAATAAAACATGGCAATCTTAAGATCATGTCTTTTCTTCTTTTTTTTTAAAAAAAGAAGGCAAAAAGACTGAAACAAACATGAAATTTGGCATAGAATCTTCTTTCAAACCAGAAGAATGTATTTTACAATGATTGCACATTGAGACTGATAAGCTCAACATTTATAACAACCTCAACATTTGCAAAAACTTATTAGTTTATTCTACTTTTTGCATGGGAAACAACCCATCAGATTAAGAGAAAAGTGACTGTAACTATGACTATAACTATGCATTCATCAGAGTTATTCTTAAGCAGGAGTTCTGTGGAAAATTGCTGTACATTCCATATTACATTTTCTATTTTATCAATACTGCAGGATGGAATGATGTTATTTATTTAACTGTTGGGGTTTTTTTTTCTATTATTAAGTTAAAAGCTGGTTTGAAGAGATATCTAAAAAGTAACTGGTTTAAAATCAAACCAACTAACATCATTCAATTATTTGCTTTAAGCACTCAAGAAGGCTCATTAGAGACAAAGAGAGTGAAAAACTTCTCTCTAAACATTCTATTTTAAAGTTCTCATGGATCTTGCTTTTTAGTTTTAAAGCAATGGAATAGTAATCCATATTTCCTAAATTATACTTAAAACGTTAGATGAAAAAAAGTTGGAAGGCCACCAAAACTGAAGGTGGGAGAAATCAGCCCAGCATTCGAAAGACTCCACAGGGTCTGTGCTTTCATCCTTCCTTCTTGTGCATTAAGATTCTTTTTAATTCTTCTTAATTCTTTCTTGGAAGGGGGAGAGGGAGGAAATGAAATAATTGTGGTTTATATGTTTCATAAAGCCTCTTGAATGCTTTGGAGTGAGACACAAACCCCATTTCAACTTGAATAGAAATCACAGTTTTTCTATGGCTGTGCTCAGACCTTTCTATAGGAACGCAAAGCATTATCAGCTTCTTGTTTCTAGCAATTAAAAACCATAATCATGCAAAGACAGTGAAGTAAGTGCTTGATGAGCATTAGCTGACATCTGGCACCCATTCCCCAGGGGGTCACCTACCCTGCCTGCCACGGGATTTGGAGCAAGTGGGCCCCGCCATTAGAAAGAAGTAGGTTAGCAACCACCTCCTTTTGTGGTAAGTACCTTTCTATCCTTGACTTTCTTTCACTAGTAATGTAAAACTACTTTGAGACTGGTTTTTTCTCCTTTTTCATCCACACATATCTTGTTTTGCAGGTTCCTACGCAGGAGCTGTTATTGCAATGCCTTTAGCTGGAATTCTGGTGCAATATACTGGGTGGTCTTCTGTGTTCTATGTGTATGGTATGTGGTTTTGCTCATCTCACTCTGATATTGTATGACCTTATTCTACCCTTCCTAAAAATGTAAAAGCTACTGGTAAGAGGCCAAAAAAAGAGAAGTGGGTCCATAAAGCTAAAAATACAGCTGAGAGAAAAGAACAGGGAAAGAACGGTATTTAAAGAAGACAGTAGGAAAGCAACATTATTAAAGAAGAAGACAAGGCCGTCCATGGTGAAAGCTTTGTCACGTCTAGCACAAGTAGTGCAAACTACTATACAGATCTATGCAATCTCTGATCATGTAAAGTTGCCCTCTCATGTACACAACTCTAAGTTTAGAGTACTTGCCCTATCTCATGTCCTGATTTTTATCTGAAGACCTACATAATTTTATTCACACTAGTTGTGCTACCTTAACTTACACCAAGAGAAAAGAATGTCCCAAAGGAGTTCATTCTACAGTGTAAAACTGATGTGAATTAGGGGGAAACCTTAAAGAAATTTAATAAACTTCTCAAGAAGTGCATTGCTATATTGAAAACAATGCCATAAACTTGTATTTTGCAGGTAAAAAATTTAGTGCAGTCATCAAGCAACCGTGTCTTAAAGCAGAATGGGACTTCATTTCCAGGCTGGTGAAATGAAATGGAAGCTGGGTCATTGCATTGCATTGTACAAATGGATTCTAAAATATCAGTGAATATTCACTTACAGTGAAATCATTCTCAAATAAAAGAAGGAAATGTTCCCTGTGCTCCAGCTCTGCACACTTTGCACAGATTGTGTTTGCAGGACCCAACTTTCTTTTAGAATGACTCAGTAGAGGAGCAGTAACAACAATTGACACTGAAATTTGTTATACTTATTCACATATGATAGATTTAATTTTTTTTCCTTGTTCACTGCTTTACTGTTCATTTCTTTTTAAAGTCTTTCTTTCCATTTCAAAGGGAGCTTTGGTATAGTTTGGTACATGTTTTGGCTTTTGGTTTCATATGAGAGTCCTGCAATGCATCCTACAATCACAGATGAAGAAAGGAGATACATAGAAGAAAGCATTGGAGAGAGTGCCAATCTTCTAGGTGCAATGGAAGTAAGAATATTACTCTCACACTTGATTCCTATCAGATAGTAATAGAACTCCCTAAAACCACATAGAAAGACAAAAAAAAAAACCAAACCAAAAAACACCCTTCTTCTTTAAGGCAGAATATAATGTCTCAAACAATTGATTTTCTGGGGGGTAGGGAGATCTCAAATCTACTGATGGATTTCTGGGTGAATATTGCTTCTGAACAAACACAATACAGTTTCCAGTTCTTCCAGCAGATCACTCATGTAATTTCTGACTGGTTTTCTACTGCAAAGTATAAAAAAGAGTTACAGTTGCATTTGAAATCGCAGCTTCATTGAGACTTTTCAAGCTGCTAATTTCCTTCCTATATAATCCTTTCTGGAAGTTTTCTTCTTCCTGAAAGTAAACTGGAGGAAAAGCCTTACTCAGTGTCTCCTGAAGTCCTCAGAACATCTGACAAAGCAAATCCTGTCTATTCTCTGTTTCATTTGCAAGAAAAACTGCAAATTGCACTCGTCATTATGCTTTCTAATTGGTCAGAACATTGGTTCTTGATTGAATTCAGGAGTAAACCACTTTTCTTAAAAAGCTTTGATCCAGACTAAATAGGGAACTAGAAATACTACATTTCTTTAATAGCTGACATTTTTAGGAGTTCTCGAGGAAGTGTCTGGGTTGCTAACAGCATTCGGCAGTGTTCATGGTTTCTTACACCTGTAAGTGCTTTTCAAAATGTGATGTGAAATGAGATAATTCAAAGGATGTACATATAACTCTAAATTTGGCTGGATAATATCTGCCTATTTTTTATTGTTGCTTTTTTAAATTCTGGAAGTGTTTGTATCAATAGTTCAGTTACTTCTAAAATATTTAGGCTGAAATTCTTCCATAGGATCAGGTTAGCTTTTCTGGCTGGCTTCTCATTAATACAGGCACCGCTAATCTTTAGCCCTTACTTAAGTGTAATTTAATAGGCATACAAGTTATTGCATATATCCATTGATGGGCTGGTTTTCTGGGAAGAAAAGCCAGTATTCAAATCAATAGTAGACTAAATTCTGCCCGGAACCTTGCTGAAGTGGTTTTCAAACACTCATCTGGGTCTGGATCCTGTATCAACGCAGATGGACAAAACCCTGGGCTCATGGAGAGGTGCTGGGACTCAGCAGGACTGTAGTTCCGTCCATCTGTCTTTTCTCATTAATTATGCAATTAATGTTAAAAATATAATAAAATAAACAAAAAATACCTTGACCAAGCAGTTTCGTCTGAGACTTGATAGAAAAAAATAATTATTCAGAATATTTTTATTAATATGTAAATGAAAAAAACATGCTTAAAATAAGTCTGGATGAAATTGTGGGCTTGCAGTGTAAAATCTGACTGTTGCTTTAGACACAACAACACTGGTTTTTAAGGACATATTATCATTTTGGACTTAGTATGTCCATGTTTACGTGATGGAGCTAATGGCACTTACATGAGGGTGGTGACTCAGCAAAGTATCACTGAGTTTCTCCACTTGTGTATTTTGTAGTAAGTTTTACTTGCTTGTGTTTTTAAATTAAATCATGATCATCCAAATGTGGATGCATGTCCTTCGTAATCATTGAAGTCATATGGATTCAAATATATAGAGCTGTGCACATATGATTTTACTGCAGTATAGATAAAAATACCAAATAGGAAAAGGGAAGACAGATGGTTGATAATGATAAAATGGTGACTGGATCCCCGCTTCTATGTTTCAGAAATACAAAACTCCATGGAGAAAATTTTTTACATCTATGCCAGTCTATGCAATAATTGTTGCAAACTTCTGTAGAAGCTGGACTTTTTACTTGCTGCTTATTAGCCAGCCTGCTTACTTTGAGGAAGTGTTTGGATTTGAAATAAGCAAGGTATGTAAAAAATAATGTAAAGCTAAGTCAGTATCAGAGCTACTTCTGTGGTATGTAATAGCAGGTGGAAAGAAAAGTGTTCTGCATCTTTATCATGGGTTCACAAGCCTCACATTTATATCTCCCAGATATTGTTCACTTGAGCAGCACATAGAAGTGCAGAAACACTTGCAAAGTGTTTCTTTGCCAGAAACAATGGCAAAGGATTGGATAGGAGAAGGTGAAAGCAGGGTGAGATTAAGTGCTGATCTGCCTGGGGTCATGTTGCAACCAGGTCTTCAGTTAAGTGCTTGAAACCTGATCGTGCATGGGTATTAGAAAGGTATGGAGAGAGCTTCTGTCCCTGACACCCTAGGGCATGTAGGATCCCACCAAAGCTATAAAGAAAGCATTGACAGTGATTTAGTTTTTCCAGGTGCCTTTCACAAAGCAGGACCACCCAGTTTTAGGAAGAATAGTAGTTTTTCATCTTACTGTATGTCCCTTTAATGTGGTGAGAACTGCTCCCCGTTTTTCACTTAGGAAATGAAAGAGATGCTGGCAAAATATGAGGCATAGGGAGGATCTAAGGTTCCACGTAATTCATATGAATTTTGGATCAGACTTGTAATGTCAATATGGATACATGCAAACGGGCCTTCAGAGTGTATACTAAGCTTTCTACTGATACAGATTTCCTGCTTGTGAAAGTGCTGGGGGCTTGTGCTTTTGAGAGACCTGTATTGTTTTGCTATTGTTCCTTCAGGTATTGTCACCCTCAATCAAGGTGTGACAACAGGATGAATAGTTTCCGAAGTTTTGCTGTATTATGGAGTAATGTCATCCTGCATTTAAAGATAGGCTTCTATATTCTATTAAGAATATATTATATTCTAGTCTATATTCTTAACATTTCTATTAAGAAACTTTGCCGTGCTTGAAACATCATCTGTTATGCATGCAATAGGAATGGTCATGTTCTATAGGATTCTTCTGATCATTTTGTTCTAGAGGATTTTTCTTGGAGTGTATTCAAAGAAATGTGGAGCTTAGTAAACAACAAAAGCAAGTCAGTTTTAGATATGGATGCTCAGGTATGAACAGTTAGCATTTAATAAGGAACACCTCAAAGGAGTAACTGCAATACTGTAGTTACCTCCTTAGTTAATACCTGTATTACTGGGAGAAATATCTACTACCATGAAGTTAGGGGTCACAACACTGCTGCTACTTGTATAAACTGAAGTGAAATAACACCGTTTCACAACTTTAACTGAAGACTAGAGAAAACTTACGTTCTTTTTGTTCTCAGGGATTCTACCTGTTTGTAACTCAAGTCAGACACCAGGCCAGCTGACAGACTGTTCAGACAGGAATTATGCAAACCTCCCTGTGCTTAAGTACTCTTTCAGATATACACAATAATCAGAATTCCCTATTAGAATAAAATGCCACATGTACTAAACAAAGGTGGTTCTGCTGACAGGAGATAGGAGGTGGCAGTTTATGTCATTCTTTTGGATAACCTATCCTGCTTTGAAAGAAGGGTCTTCCAATGTGTTATTATAGCTTGGAACAGTCATCACAAACTAACTATGTCTCACTTAGCTAGTATGTGTTGAATATTGTCAATGGATATTTAGCATGTTCTCTTTTACTATGTATAGAGTTTCTCAGAGATATCTTTTGCCCACATGAAATTTGAAGGTTGAGGGATGGTCAGAAATCAAAGGCAAAAGGCCATGGTGTATGTGAGGATGATCCACAAGGAACCTACCAAGACATGTTAGGTTTGTGGGCAATGTTGCACCAAACACATCACCAACAGAAATGTGGCCATTCAGTTCAACACAGTTGATCATTGATTTTCCAAAAAGAAAGGGCAGAGGGTCTGTAAGTCAGGGGAAAAGCCATTATTTTAAATACAAACTGTGAAAACAATCTATAAACAAAAAGTTTCATGGCATCAGAGGTTCTCAAAGACTCTGTCCTTCACAAAATACAACTGCAACTTAAGGTCACTGGTTTTGTTCACTTAATAAACCAAGTTAAGGATTTTGGTTTAGCCTGAAATTGAAAAGAAAAAATCATTAGTTGCTGACTGCTTTGGAAAATGATCGATATTTTCTTACAGTTTATACTTTGCTAATTCTAATGATTATTTTAGGTGGGTATCTTATCTGCTGTGCCGCATTTAGTGATGACAATTATTGTTCCTATTGGAGGACAAATTGCAGACTTTTTGAGAAGCAAACAGATTCTTTCAACCACTACTGTGAGGAAGATAATGAACTGTGGAGGTAAGCCTTCTTATTTGCTTACAAAGCTTCTCATACAGATTTAATGTCCATATAGTATGCTGTATACAGAAACAAACTGCATGGGTTTATGTACTTATGAGGCAATACTTTGTGCATTTGTTGTGCATTATAGATGTGGTTACCAAATAAAAGTAAACACCGTTGTTCCTATTCCCAGTTCCAATATTGATGTCTGGCATTTGAAAAAGCATTTAGACTCTTAAAGAAACAGATGAGATTTTGGCAGGTCATTTGCTTGCCCTTAGCTCCTCATCTAAACACCCTCTGCACTAAGGGAGCCCAGACTGCCACCTGAGATTCCACCCCCGACTTCTGAGAGGTTAAAGTCCCATGAGGTGAATCCTGGCTGTGATAAGGGCAGTTCAGGTGTATATTCCTATCAGGGCTAGCTGGAAGGACACAAGCAAATCACAAGTACTTCTGTTCATCTCCAAAATGACAGGAAGTAACAACAAATTAGTATACAAAGAACAAAATAATGATTGAGATAGCAAGACCATGTAATTTTTAGGGATGAAAGAAAAACCTGATTATATTCCACTCTGAGCTAATGTTTTGCCTCTGTCTTCCTATGAAATATTACCATATCTTGAGGCCTGCAATATTTGAGAGGGAATTAAATCTGGTGCTTGTTTTTCTTTATGAATTCCCCAGGTTTTGGTATGGAAGCAACTCTTCTTCTCGTGGTGGGATACTCTCACAGTAAAGGAGTGGCTATTTCATTCTTAGTGCTTGCTGTAGGCTTTAGTGGATTTGCCATATCTGGTAAGATTGTATTGCTGTTATTAGTAAATTATTTTACCTTAGGAGATAGAACATCTAATTTGGTTTTTACCTACTGATAATAATTTAAACAAACCACAGAATTCCAAATGACACTACTTATGATCGTTACAAAGGAAAGTACAATCAGTACCACATCTTTTACATTAGATTATTGTTGTTCAAAAACATCAATCTTTTCCATATTCATTGCAGCTAATGAGATTGCCTTTTCATTGAAGAGCTAATATACACCATAGATATGAAATCAAGCATGTAACATAAATGGATTGATATTATAGAATGCTACTTAAATGTAAACATTTTTGTTTAAATATAGGCCTTTTACTTTTTTTGCCATTGCATATTGGTTAATGCTTTGTTAGTGTTGCATTATTCTATTACTTTGGGGCTTAAGTACTAGCATTTTTTTTGCTGATTTAAAATTAATCTCTTGCCCTT